TCCTCTATGGATTTTTTTTTCCAGACTTGGTTAAGAGGATCTCCTTTTTTGCAAGATCATGAAAAATGCATATACGCCCCAGCTGGTGTGGCTCAGGGGACTGAGTGCCGGCCTGTGAACTGAAAGGTCGCCAGTTGGATTTCCAGTCAGGGCACAAGCCTGGGTTGCAGGCGAGGTCCCCAGTGGGGGACGCTTAAGAGACAGCCACACATTGATGTTTCCCTTCTTCTCTATCTCCCTCCCATCCCCTCTCTCTAAAAATAAATAAATTAAATATTTTTAAAAATGAAAAAATATATAAACTTGGTCATTAAGTTTCTCCACTCAACTTGTAAACTTTGTAAGTATTTTTTCCCTGAAAAGCATTCGAGATAAGTATTTTAAAGATTAAAAATTTAGTATGCTTCTTTTAGTTCTCTTTAGGCCCAAAAAGCATTGGATATTTTTAACCTCCCATTTTAGAAATGTTGCACATTCTATTTAATGAATAAGATTTTTAAAATCTAAAGAGCACATATTCAAACTTTTGTTAGTTTAAATAATGGTTCAAAAATTTGTTTAGGATAATATTATAAAAGTAAAGACAAGTTACATGACATGATTATACAAATGTTTAATGGTTATTTAGTTAACCCCCTTTATACTTGTGGTTATTGCTGGGGATGCAGGGAGGTAAATTTTTATGAGACAAAGTTCTACAAAATCCACTAAAAATAAAAAGCACTAAATTAAAAGAATTCAAGAGCATCTTTACCAATAAGATTAGTTAGAGTTTAAAGAGGCTGATAAAGGCAGTGCTGATCAGTTTGTGAAAAAGTAAGTATAGATTGGCCCCATGCCACAGGATGGCAATTTGGCAATGTCAGTCAAAATAAAAAATGTACGTTTGCTCTGACTCAGCAATTCTACTTCCAGGAAGGAACTTAGCCTTCATCTGCAGTCTTAGGAAAGCATACAGACATCTGCACAAGGGTGTTCACATCAGTCTCATTTCCAACTACCAAAAGATGAGAAACAAGCCAAATATCCATCGAAAATATGCCACATTGTGATGCATTCGCATGATGGTGTTTTATCCTGCCTTTAAAATTAATGAGGGAGGCCTATATGTAACAATATAGAAAGAGATGCTGCCAAAAGAAAAGAGCTAGTAACAAAACATTATATACAGTGTGATGCAATTCACTCAAAGCACACACAGACATGCCACACACATGCACACACACATATCTGGATATGCATAGAAAATTCTGGAAACAAACACGGAAGTCCGTTAACAGCGGTTACCTTTGGAGAATGAAACTGAAAGGACTGAGGAGAAGGGGGCTTTTACTTTAAAACCTATGCTCTTCTGTTGGATAGTTTAACAACAAAAATATAATAATTTGATCACAAAAGAATAATCTCTCTGTCCACCTCAACACCCCTTCCCCACAAAGCAGCAAAATTTTATTTGTTTTACATGGCCAGTGGTTTTGGGTTACTTTTACTTTTGTTTCTTAGTGTGAAGTCAAACACCATCGAAAACGGAAATGACAAAGAGCATTCACATACATGGCACTCAGGAGAAAGAATTTCTTCTGTGGGAGGCTTTGGCAGTGTGACCGGTCATTTGGCTAAGTACAGAATTCAAGTTCTAATTTCCTTCTCCTCAGCACTCAGAGGACATTGCTCCATTATCGCTATGTATCTCAGTTGGAGTTAAGTTCTCTGTAACAAGTAGACTTCCAGTTCCTGAAGTACAGGTATTTACCCCTGTTTCAGGCAAAGCAGAACTAACAAGGACTGCAGGATCAATCATGCCACTCCTGACCGTGGACGTGTCATAAAAGTGAGGCACAGAAGTGAAATTGTTGGAGAGCAGGAAATAGTAAGAGCTGTAGGAACCCCCAGGGAGACAGAAGGAGCCTGGGACCTGGTGAGGGAAACAGAGACTAGAGGGGAGGGGCATAGGGCCAGGTGTCACCAGCAGGGGGTGTTCTCGGTAGAGCTTCCCAGCTGTGCCCTCCTCTCTGCACCACGTGGCCCTGACCACATCAGGGCCTGAAGCCCTTGGAAGGCAGGAAACACAGCCCCTCAAGGCCAGCAGGCCTTTGCACAAGGAGATGTTCCGCAGTGCTGCTGGACCCTGGCCAGGCTAAGAAACGGGAACAGCAAGGCCTGTCCTCTGCCCTGAGGACCAGAGTTTTATGACCTAAGGGGAAGTCCTTGCCTTGACAGAAGTACATGGAGATTCCCTAATGGGTAAAGTCCCATGGGAGAGGGGAAGGAGGCAACAAAAATGAGATGAGCCCAGATTGTAACCCTAGAATCTCTCTACTCTAGGAAATGGGTCCCCACCAGCCCCACCACCGCCTTATCTTTGCCCTGTGCACACTCTGCAAACTCAACAAGAGGGGCTCAGCATGCTGGGGAATAGGCTTCCATCCTCTCCCAGGTCATAACCAAGTGGCATTGATCTCAGGAAAGTATTAATAAGTTGGTTTAACACTCAAAAGTTACTCAACACAATTTACCATAAATATGAAAGAAAAGCCACATCGTCTCTCATTAGATGTGGAAAGATCATTAGACAAAATCCAACATCCATTACTGTTTTTTAAAAAAACCTCTCTGCAAATTAGAAATAGAAGAGAAATTTCTCAGAGCTGATAAATTGTATCTACAAAAAAACCCCATATTACTAACATCATACTTAGAGGTGAAAGACTGAATGATTTGTCCCCAAGATCAGGAACAAAGCGTGTCCACTCCTATTACTTCTATTTTGCATTGTACTGGGAGTCTTATCCAGTGCAGTGAGGCAAGAAAGAGACATTAAATGCCTCAAAGTTTGAAAGGAAAAAGTAAAAAAGTTTTTGTTCACATATGATATGATCACATATATATAAAATTCTAAAGAATCTATAAAAAAGACACTAGAACTAATAAGTGAGTTTGATAAAGTTACAGTATACTAAGGTCAAAATAAAAAAAATCAGTTGTGTTTCTATATACTAACAATAAAAATTTAGAAATTGAAATTTAAAATAACAATACCATTTATAACAGCATCAAAAATATTAAATAATGAGGAATGAATCTGACCAAAGATGTGTGAGCCCTGTACTGAAAACTAGAGACCATTGTTAAGAGAAATTAAAGGCCTAATAAATGGAGAGATACCCTGTGTTCATAGGTCAGAAGACTCAACATTGCTCAAACATCAATCCTTCCCAGACTGATCTAGTTGTTGAATATTAATTGTGTCCCTGCCTTAGCAGCTGAGAGTCCCTGCAAGGCCACTGGGTGGGGGCTGCTGCTGTCTTGGAAGTTTCCGTAAGAGAGGGAAAGGGGACACGGTGCGCTGCACTTTGGTGGCTCCTCACCTGGGCAGCAATGCCTGCTGTTTCTGCCAGCTGTGGCCAGCCACCTACGGTGCCACCTGGCCTCCGGTCCAAGCTGCCACTCCCACTGTTCTCACCTGAAGGCAGACATTTTGATACATGCACAGAGGTGGGCAAAAGTAGGTTTACAAGTGTCAAGAAAGTGATGACAATAAAGAACTCTGTGCCAAAGTGTGCTTGAGTATAGCTAGTAGATGACAAGAACGTGTAAACAATGAAGGCCAGCAACTGGAGCACTTACGAGGTTGTACCTAAGTGCCCTGTGCCATTGTGACATTCTTTTGAGTTAATAGAGCCATTGTAATCATCTTAACCTGCATATTTTTTTCATACAAACAACTGTAAACCAACTTCTGTATACAATGGAATACTACTCAGCTGTAAAAAAGGATAAAAGATTGCCATTTGCGACAACATGGATGGATCGTGAAAGTATTTGGCTAAGCAAAAAAAAAAAAAGTCAGATGGAAAAGGACAAGAACCGTACGATGTCACTCATATGTGAGATATAAAACAGAAAGCAACAATGAATGAACAAGACAAACAAACTCATAGTCACAGACGACAGAATGGCGGTGACTAGAGAGGAAGGGAGGTAGTGGGGGCGGCGATGAAGAGGGCAGAGGGGTCAAATATGTGGTGACAGAAGGAGACTAAACTTTGGGTGGTGAGCACACAAAGCAATATACAGGGGATGTGTTAGAGAACTGTACACTTGAAACATATATGTTACTGACCTATGTCACCCCGATAAATCTATTTTAAAATAATTAAAAATAAAGACAGACATACTCACTTTTGCCCCTTGGACCCTAGGGAGGGAGAATGGGAAACATTCCATCAGCCTGGTTATTTCCCACATGGAACCCCAGCTAATCACTCTGCCAGTAGCCGCTGGGGGTCTCTTCTGCTCTGCGTCACCTCTAGGCCAGGAGCGACGGGCGGAACTCTCCCCCAGGCTCCCTGCTTAGAGGGTTCTGAGTATAATCTCCTATCTGCTTGTCTTTTCTGGAATCCTGCCATTTCTAATTGATTAAGACTTGTTGCTTTCAAGTGGAACTATGAATGGTGAGTGTTTGCTTCTTTGATTGGTTTTTCTTACATCTATTATTTCCATGAATGTGGTGCAGGGGAATCAAGATTGTGGAATGTGCCTTCTGTTTCCTTCGTTCCCTTGCCCAGGTCTCTTTCTCCCTCCAGGACCTGCCTGAACGCTACGCACCTGCTCCTGCAACCAGGGACTCAGGAAGCTGCCAGACTTTCTTCTTCAGACAAAAATCTCAAGAGCTGTTCATTGGTGTTGCCCCAGGTGCTCTGGGGTGTAGCTTCTAGGTTCTCAAGTCCAGCACAACCCACCCCTTGAGGAGTCTGCCCCAGGTAGAGCCCAGCATAGGTTTTGTGAAAATAGACTTTATTATAATAAAATGTCTTTTTAAACAAATGTCCCCACCATTCCTCACCCATGGAGACTAAAGTAGGGGTGGGGTTGAGTCAAACAATCTTCCACCACAGCAAAGGAAACATGCAGAGACACTCACCCGGCTGGCGGGGGTGGAGGGTGGGAACGGATGGTTAGGGTGAGGGTGGAGAGCCCTACTCCGCTCTAAACTGGGAATGTATGAAAATAGCTGCATAAATCTGTCCTTTTCCCCAGCCCTGGACTCCGATGGGGGCCAGAGGAAAACGATGCAAAAGAGAAATTGAATCCGATGAGCAAAATAAGGCAAACCCAACTCCTGCTTTTTGCCCACTGGCCCCTTTGGGTCTCTGGGGTTGGGGACACACAGGGGCCAGAGGCCGGCTGGCAGGGAGGGGTGGAGCATTCTGGGGGTGGGGTTAGGCCCGCTTTGGCATGGCCTTTCTCCTCCCCGGGCCTGTGCAGTGGAAGCGAGATGGAGGAAGCTGGACTGAGGCACTGAGTATATACATATATACATGGCTCCGCCACCTGCCCCATGGGGAGGGGGCTCAGGACAATCCAGTGCAAACTTTCCTTTCTGGGGAGGGAAGACATGATCAGGACAGCCAGTGTCAGCAAAGGGAACAGGCCCCTTTCTCCCCTCAGGGTCCCCTGTCCTGGGAGTGGGGAGGGCCAGAGAAGGGATTAGCATCTCGTGGTGAGAAACTTTGAGTAGAAAGGCGGACTAAGAGTCAAGAGTCCCAGGTCCAGTCCTGGCTCTGTGACTGACCACTTTGGCGAGCAACCTCCTCTCTGGGCCTCAGCTCCCCCTCCTATAAGAGGAAGGTGCCCATTCAGAGGACTCGTTCTCAAGGACTAATCTAGCTCTGACCTGCACGGAGTCTCTGATTCCATTCCAAGTGCCACAGTGTTAGCTCAGAGGAACAGAAGTCCGGGGCCTTTCCTATGCTGCCCCTGCCAGGACAGTGATCTGAGGGCCTCAGGGGGCCACTTCTTCCGACAGGATGAGCCAGGGCATCACTCCTTCTTCCCAGAGCCCAGTTTCCTGAGAAGGAGCTGCTTCCCTTTGGCGAAGAGACCCCGCACCTTCTCCCTTGTGCCCTGTGGCTCCCCCAGTCCAATCGTGGGGAGGCTGCCAGGGCCAGGGGCATAGGGCCAGCTTGGGGGCCCTGGGGGCCCTTGTGTTGAGCTGGTCCAGTCCTGGAACGTGAGAGAAAAGGGACAAGGTCAGGACCCAACTCCCTGCCCTAGCCCGACGCCCTCAGCCTACAGCCTTAGGTGCCTATAGCTTGCCCGCCCCACGTCACAGAGCCATGATCAAGAACCAGAGCCCCAGCACACCAGCACTGACCCCCCGCCCCAACAGAGCACAGGCCGGCGAATGAGCACAATAAGGCTGAGGAGGCACTAAGGCAGGAGTCCCACGGGACAGAGGCAGGGCCGGTTCTGCTTCTGTTCCCCTGGGACCTGGGCAAGGCCCTCCCCTTCTCTGGGTCTCCCTATGGGGTGCTGGGCTGACAGACCTCCAGAGTCCTTGGACCTGATCCCTCAGGAGGGGCACCCCAACTTCCCCCATGTCACCCCCACCCCATGAAGGGAGAGCAAGGACCAGGACCACTTGGAGGCAGCCGTGGCCCCCAGGGAAGGCGGTTCTGCAGCCTCACACACAAAGGAGCGTGCCCTCCAGCCCAGAGATGTGTGTCCCCGGGGCCGTCGGGGAAGCCAGTGCCCACCCCATGGGGAAGAGATCGGGACTCTTCTCTGAACGGCCCCTGGGAGGCTGCTGGGAGCCTGGGGCCAGAGACAGTCAGGTGTCACTCAGCACCCAGCACACGTATGGCGGCTGCCTGGCCCCTCTGTTAGCATCGCTCCCTTGCTCACTCTCTTAGCTCCATCTGCAGCTGTGAGTGTTCCCTCTGCCACAGGCCCAGCCAGGCAGTGCTGCCAGTGGCCTATGGACAGGGACTGGGCAAACAGGAGAGCCACCAGGACGTCTCCCCTAACCGCCTGTATCCCCACATTCTCACCACGATCTCCTGTGCCCGGCATACCCCCGGCACAGTCGGGTCATGCCAGCCGGCACATTCCCCACTCCCTCCCTCAAACCTCCGCTTGCCGCCAGAGCCTGGCAGTCTCCTGGCCAGAGCCAGCCATGGAGCCCAGACCAGAGGCAGGCTGCTGGCTGCCCAGCCCAGGGCCCAGTCCCACCAAAGGGCCTGCCCACCAAGAGGCCCGCTAGCACCTAGAGGTTACAGCATTGCCTGCCAACCAGCCAGGGCTGATGGCCGGCCAGGAGCCCTGGGCCCTTCCCGCGCCCTCCCGGGGCTCCTTCTACAACATGGGAGGGGGCAGGGGAGGGCACTGCTGGGGAAACAGAGAGGGTCTCCGAGCCACCGAGACAAACGGTGTGGGGCTATCTATGGATTCCAACTGTTTAAGGCCCCCGTTTATTCCCCTCAACAGAGGAAATTGAGAGTTGGAAGTAAAATCAGGCATCCGATCCCCTAGCAGGTCATGATGCAGAGGACGAGAGTGGGGAGACTATTATTACTGGTGGCCTTACATTGTCATCTTCCTGTCACCAATAATAATCAAAATATTATAATACGATCATCATATAATATGGTGCACTGAAGACTCGTAATACGGATGTCATGTAATATTCTACACGCCCTATGTGTTAAAGAATCTGAGGCGTCAGCTAATAGAGACATTATATACGAAGATGGCATGTAGCCCTATGACCGCTGGCACTGGCCGAAGGGGAGGGGATGATCCCGTACCCAATCTTGGCTGAGAGCAGGAGCCCCCATTCCCTGGAGGACAATGGAAAAGCCAGGTCAGCTCCAGCATGTGAGACAAAGGGGTGCCGTCTGATCATGGTCACGGGGGGGCACACGGACACAGGGGCCAGTCCCCCACTTACATGGTGCTCTCTCTACATATATCTATCTCCGTCTAGCACTGGACTCTTCTCTTCCTCGTTCTCTGAAGAACAGCGAACAAAGAGAGGACATGGGTTACGGACAAACCCACCAGTTCTCCGCCCAGTCACCAGGTCCCCGGGTCACAGGGGCTGGTCCTGCTTGGCATCGCCTTTGCCTTTGCCTTTGGAGTAAATGCAGATGGAAACCCAGGGTTTTCTTGTTCGGGCCTGGCCTCCTTACCCTCTCCCTGCCCCATGAGGCTGGAGCTTAACTGCACTCCCCCCACCCCGAGAATAGGCAGGCTCTAAGAATGAGAGCCCAGGAAGCTGGGCCTGGCCGGGCAACGGGCCTTCAAAGGCTCCTGGGGGACAGGGAGACCCAGCAGGATGGGCGATTCCCTGAAACCAGGGCTGAGGCTGGCCTGACATGTGGGTGCACAGGGGTTCTTTCACACAGGGCGTCCTCCCCTGCAGGGTCGCAGCCATCGACCCCTGCCGAGAGGGGCACCTGCTATGAGGGAGCTGGCCCTGGCTGGGCTCCCTCTGACGGTAGCTTGGCAACTCCAGCCTGGGCGCCAGGCTCACCTGCAGCATAGCCCCCGTGCCCCTCCCGCCCCCGCCCCCGCCCCTGCCCCAGCCCTGGCCCCACCAGCACAGCAGCAGAACAGGGACCCACTGCTGGGGTGGGAGCCCAGCCCCTCACTGACCTGACTCTCGGCCTGGGGTGTCCCAGGCTCCTTGTTTAAGCCCTCCGCCTCGGGCCCAGGGCTCTCCAGGAAGTTAGATGGAACCAGGCCCCTCTGTCCATTCAGTTCCCCCTGGAGAGGAGGTAACAGTGAGACAGATTAGGAAAGAGGCCTCAGCCCCACCCCCTTTACCTGGAAGCCCCTGGAGGAACAGTCTGGGGTCAACATCTCTGTCACAGAGGGGGCCTGTCCATGCCTCCGGGCACCTCTCAGAGGCCCTCGCTCTCCCCTTTCCAGCCCTTTCTGAAAGCGCTGGCAAGGTGTTCTCACATAGTAGAAGCCGTCATCGTCCATGCCCCCAAAAACAGTAATGACATCCCCTGCTCGGAAGGGCAGCTCTGCCTGTGGAGGGACCGAGAGGCAGGTGTCAGGCCCGGGGAGGCCGTGCCACCACCGACACTGGCTGGGCTCTACGTGAGGAGCCTTACCTCCACGTCCATGTTAGGGGAGCTCTCCCGGGGGTTGTAGTCGAACGCAGCCACCATGGAGTGGGCAGCTCTCAGGCTGGCAGAGGGGGCCAGCTGGGGGGGGCCTGCAGGGGGCGGGGAGAAGGCTCAGGACTCTCTCTAGACCCCCACACCCCACCCTATGTCTGCACTGGAGGCCTGCTGGCCCCCTATTCACCACCTCCCCCCCTAGTCTTAGCCCCTGAGGAGAGACTAGAGGGACAGCCCGCCCCACCCCTTTCCCCAGTCTCCCCTACACAGGGATGGCCTCTCACCTGCACAGTGCTGGGCACGACCTTCTGACTTGGCTGCAGAGAGAACATGCGCGTGAGCCACCACCACTCCCCCCACACCCCTGCTCAGGATGGTGCAGGGCGGGCAGGATGCTCAGCCTCACATAAGGGATGCAGGAGAAGGGTGCTCCGAGAGCACGTGAGCTCAGCCCTTTGATTTGGGTGGTGGACGAAGGCCCAGAAAAGGTGACTTCCTCCAGGTTGCACAGAACTTATAGTCAGGTGTTTTTTGGAACAGAGGTCGCAGCAAGCCATTCCCCATCCCCATTAGAATGCAGTACCCTCCTGGAGAAGGGATGGGTGTGGTGAAGGTCTGCCCTGATACCCTTTACCTGCTCAAAACTCCATGTGTCCCCCCAAGAGAGCGAGACACCACACCCCTACTCACCCTCACAGGCCCCCAGAGGAGAAGGGGGTCTTACCCACCTTTCTTGGAGCGGCGGGGCTTTGGGGGAGGCCCAGCTGAGCAGGCTGTGGAGCGCAGAAAGGGACCATTCCCTGATCCAGGAAGGCAAGTAGATATAAGAGAGGAACGGAGGCAGGGAATAGGACAGAGACTCTGGAGCCTCTCTTGGGGCCATTCCAGGGTCCCTGCCCACAAGTTTCTAAAGGGTATTCCTTTCCCACCTCAACCTCCAGGATCCAAAATACAAAGCCACCCCCTCGGTAGTGGGCCCCACTCCACGGGGCAAGCTCACTGCTGCGGCCACGCTGGCCGCAGTCTCTTCAGGGCCCCAATGGCTTTGCTAGACTCTTGATGAACGAGGTGTCCTGCTCCTCCAGACACACACGGTCTCCATACCCCAGACAGACAAAGCTCGGAGGGGGTGGAATTGGAGCTGGGGTGGCGGGGCTCGGCGGAGGGACAGCAGCAGGTCCTACCTGAGCCCTCAGTGAGAGCGCCCGGGGACAAGTAACCCCGCCGTAGTAGCTGCTGTCTTCCTGCGGGGCTGTCCACAGCCACCTCGGCCACCATGTTGCAGGGGATGTAGCCCGCCCTGCCCCCGGCTTCACCCCGGTAGAAGCCGTCAGCATCCTTTTCTCCAAACACCTGGAGGCAAAGACCAGCTGTTTCGGGAGGCCGGTTCAGCTTGCTCCCTGGGCCCGAGGCCCCAGCCCCACAGCACCGCACTTGGAAGTGCAGAACACTCTGCCTTTTGTGGGCCAAGAATAAGGATCAGAGAGATGAGAGAAGATAGCCTCTTCCGTATTTTCGTCGACCACTCCCTGCCCGTCCATTCCCCTGGCCCACCCCAGACTGGAGCTCCCCAACCTCAGAGCCACAGCAAAAGCCTTCAGTGAATACTTGGAAGCATGCCAGAAGTTGTGATGTTGCTAGCAGCAGCTATACTGGGCTATGTACCAGGCGGTTCAAGTGCCCCATGGGCATTGAATCACTTAAGCCTCAAAAAACCCTGTGAGGTAGACACTAACATTATCCCCATTTTACCAATGAGGAAACGGAGGCCCGGAGGAGTTGATCTGCTCAGGGTTCCGCAGCCAGAAGTGGCAGCCCCACTTTATCTGGCTCTAAAAGTCATGCTCTGGCTCGTACATTCTATGACACCGTGCAGGAAAGGAGGGAGGGAGGACCTGGAGAGAGTGTCACCTTCAGGATCTGGCCCTCCCGGAAGGGGAGCTCCTCTTCCCCGGCATCGGGGTTGGGTGACATGGACGCAGGGTCATAGTCAAACAGAGCCACAAAGACCCTGACAGGCAGGTCCTGGTAAGCCAGCACTTCTTCTGGGGGGCTCCTCAGAGGGGCTATGGAAAGTTGGGGGGAGACAGAGGGCACTGATAATGAGCTTCTGGGTTCGGAGAGCCCCTAACCCACCTAGCCCGGCCCCCACCAGCTGCTCACCCAGCTCCACGGTGCCTGGCCTGGGGGCCTGGGCCCTTCTGCGCAGGGGGCCCCTCCGCCCAGAGCCATCCTGCTCTCTGGGCTCCCCAATCTCTGTTGCCTGCAAAGAGAGGGCAACAGAAGGCAGAGATGTCACATCATCCCCCTGGCAGGCACCTCCGCAGAGGCAGGACCCCACACGTGCTCCCCAGCTCTGCCCCATCAGCAGAAGCAGCGCAGCAGAGCAGGGACACAACATTCCTTGCCTGGAGACTTCAGACACCCCCACAGGGGCAGGAGGGTGGAAGGGCAGGTGGGGAGGCCCCAGCTCCAGCCACCCTAGTAGATGTGTGCAGTAGAGGGGACTAAGGTGAGATCTTAGAGCCGACCGAGGAGCGTGTGAGAGGAGGCCCTCTTCTCAGCGTCAGGGTTGGGTGACGCTGGACATCACAGTCAATGTCCTAAGCAGAGGAACGGACCACCCTGCCCAAAGGCAGGGGGCTTGCTGGTGACAATTGGCAATAACAGAATATTGTGCGTCCCAGTTCCGATCAGCAGAAGCAACAAAGCAGTGGAATGTGGGTGGGAGGAGGCAGGTGTGGGAGCCCGGAGGCCCAGCCCCACCTCAGCTGATGAAGGCGGCAGCGTGGAATGGGAGCAGCTGGTGGGCAGCAAGCAGAGCCACCAGGCGGCAGCAGGCAGGGGGCTGCCCAGGGCGGGGGGCGCACACGGACCCGGGAGGCTGGCTCCTTGGCTCGGCCGGTCGCACTGCGGCCTCTCCGCTCTGGCTCCCCCTTCTCCCAGGCTGGGAGGTGTGCATAGGGGTTGGGGCCTGAATTGGCCTTCAGGGCCCCCCTGGGCTTTCCTGTGGATGCTGTGCCCCAGGCCTCCCCATCTCCAAGGGAGCAGGAGCTGGTGATGCTGACACCCCCACCGCCTGCCTCCTGTTCATCCTCAGAATCATATTCGATGCTGATTTCCAAGCACTTTGGGGAGAGGCAGCTGACCAGGCCAGATTCTGGGGTCTGGCCACGCAGGCACCTCTGGGAAGGGGCCGGCCGCCCTCTCCCGCCAGCCTCGGGTCCACCCCTGGTGCCCTCGCCCACAGGCGGGCTGCCCCTCTCCCGCATGGGGCCTGGTCGTCCAGAGGCCTGGGGCCCGCCGTTGCTGAGAAGGCGGCTGCAGTGTTCACGGGGATCTGGGGATCGCTTGCGGTTTGGGGGCTTCTCGGTGGAGCCACTTCCTCTCCTCCAGCTGCTTCCACCAACTAGTCCAGGCATGTCCTCCAGGTGGTCCCTGGCACTGGAGAGCTCAGGAGACAAGGGACATGGCCCAGGCCCTTGGGGTCGACTGCTGTCACAGCCCAGCCGCAGCAACATGGGCTCAGGTGGGCTGCGGTCTCGGGGAGAAGAGCCTGCCCCTGGCCTCTCCTCCTCCTCCTCCTCCTGCTCCTCCTCCTCCTCCTCGGGGATGCTGAAGAGCTTCTTGCTGCAGAACTGCTGGCGGGGCAGCTCCAGGATCTGCTCCAGGATCTCCTCATCACTGTCAGTCTCAGAGAAGGGCTCAGGCTGGGGCTGGGGCTGGGGCTGGGGCTGGGGAGGGGGAGGGCAGCAGGGAAGAGAGGTCCGTGGGAAGAGGAAAGAGCTGTGACCTTTGCCCTCAAATGAGGGCAGGGGTTGCAGGCAACCCCATAGCCTTCCCTCAGCTTCCTCCAAGAGGAAGGACCAGAGAGGGGACCCAACCCAAAGTCACATGATGCATCCGGGGCAGTGCCAGAGAAAGAATAAGGGAACACACCTAAGAAAGAGGCTACACAGGTACTCAGGCCCCTGAGTGACAGCAGCAGGCCGTGCCTGTAGTAGCAGAGAGGCCTCCCCACCCCTTCCCCTGCAGCTCCCAACACAAAGATCTCTGGTGGCCAGGGTGCTGCATCTGGTGCACTGGAGCGAGAAGGTACGGCACAGGGCTCCTCCTCCTCCCCTTTCTTCCAGGAGGGCAGAGGCCGGTCCTGAGCCACTGCCTATTCGCTGCTTCGGATAGGGCCCAGGCCACACACCTAGAATGTTGCTGGCACTCAGTGGCGGCTGAGCAGCAGCTGACACATGGGGTAGAGGCCCCTGGATCCCGAGGTCTAGGGCCCGCCAGCCCTTCCTCGTCCCGTTACCTTGGGCCCATTCTCGCTGAGGCTGTTGTCAGCAACCTGCTTCTGGAACGAGCGAATCCTGGAACCTGGCTCCTCTTCCTCCTCCTCTTCCTCCTCTTCTTGGATGTCTGACAGGTCTGAGTTCCGGCTGTGGTCTGCCAGGGAGTTCACCAGGCGGACCCCGAGCTCTGCCATGTCCTCCTTCTGCAAGACGGGAGACAGGAGGTGGGGGGGGTGCTGTGAGGGACTCGGGGTCGGGGGCACTCTGGCAGGGTCAGCCCCGGCCAGAATGAAAGGGGTCCCTTGGCAGAGGGAGAGGGCAATGTCCCAAATGGAGGTATAGATGATGGGGTTGGGGAAGAAGGAGACGGATGGGGGCTAAGGGGAAAGGGAAACCGGGGAAGGTAAAGTGGCAAAGAGACAGACACACAGCACAGCCCAGGACAGAGAACCTGCGGAGAGGCCGACCAGAGTCTGGCTGGCAGGAGACAAGGAGGCAGGCCCTGATTCTCTGAGGTGGCACCGTGTGTCCCTGACCCCGTACCTCAGCCCTGGGCCTCAGCCCAGTGTCCGTGTCTCCTCCGAGGCTGGCCTCAGCACAGGACCCTTTCTGGGCCAGGGAGGAAGCTGCAGAGCCCTCACTGGGTGCCAGGCAGGCCTCTCCCATGGTCCACTCGGCCTCCTCCTGGGCCAGCGAGGAAGCTGCAGAGCCAGGAGCCTTCTCACCCATGGCTGGCTTGTTGGACTTCCTATCCTCTGAGGCATCCAGCACAGCTGCCCGAGCCTCCTCCTGGAATGGGAGGCACTGGGGAAGGGCCCAAGCCCCAGGCCCTTCCCCCAGCCTCCACCTGTTCCCCCTGCCCCAGTAGGGTACCTGGGAGCAAGGTACTGAGGGCTCCTCCTGGGATCCTTTTGGGGCCTCTCTGGGAGGGCTTGCTGGTGGGCCTCCAGGGGGCTTTCGAGTTCCATGGGGCTCAGGACACCGGAGGGGAGAGCTGGGGTCCCCAGGCCCTGGGGAGGCTGGAGCAAGCGCTGGCCTGGCCTCTGAGCCTGGGCGTGGTGAGGAGGAGGGGCAGGAGACCCTGGCCGGCAGGCAGGCCGCAGCCAGGACTGGGGCAACGGGAGCTGGAATGGAGTCGGCCGACTCGCCATGGGGTGACATGGTGCGCACAGCCACCTCGCTGCACACCTGCAGCAGCTGCAGCTGAGACAAATCCACCAGCACGCTGCCTGCTGTGGGCGAGGCCACCTCCATGATCTGCAGGGTGGAGGGAGCACAGGACGGGAGAGGGAAGCTGAGATGGCCAAGTGTGAGGACACAGCAGCGACAACGGTGACTGGCATTTGCTGGGTGCTGTGCTAAGCCCTTGGCTTGCCTCACCTCATTTAACCTGCCCAGCCACAGGACTTCAGTGGTAGAGCGGTATTTTTGAATCCCAATGACCAAAACCCATTCTCTTAACCAATCTGCTGCCTAGTGCCCACATGCCAGGGTCTGGGCATCGCTGTGCTAGGCTGGGGGGACTAGGCCTCTGAGCATGGCAAGGAGAGACCCACATCCTACTCCCAGGGTACAGGGGAGGGGACAGAGCCCCTAGGCAATACCTTCTGCCCATCTGCGTAAATGGCATAGCCTGTGACCCGGACGCCATTGGAGGTGCCAACCGCATCAATTGTCACTGGGAGCCAGCTGATGACCAAGATTCCAGGGGAGGGTCCTGGCTCAATCTGCACATCCAGGGGGGCATCAGGTGGGCCTGGGAGAAGGGGACACAAGACCCAGTAGTACATGACACTCACCACCAGAGGCAGAGCCCAGCCCACTTTGCCACTTCCCTGAAAACACCAACAGCAACAGTCTCCTCTTTCGCTATCACCCATGGCCTAGCCTCCTGGGTACTAGAGATAGTCAACGCCCAAGCCTGCATACCTGCTGGGAGTGTCGTGAACTGCAGGGTGGCAGTCCGCTGCGCCGGCCGCTCCCAGCCTGGTTCCCAAGACCCTCCAGGTGGGAGCTGAGCCTCCACTCGGGCCTGATAGAGTGTACCAGGCCGCAGGTGGCAGAAGGTGGCCCAGTAGGTGCTGGGGCGGGCAGGGGGGCATTCCTCCCCATTGAGGTAGATGGCATGAGCCAAGTTGCTATTGCCGGGCACCCAGGTGATCTCAGCAGACGTGGCTGTCAGTCGATGGACCCGTAGCTGGCTAGGTACAACCCTGGCCTGGGCACCCATCGCCAAGCAACAGCGCAGAGGGTCAGAGCTGCCCCGGCTGGTGAGGGCCTGCACAGAGACGTGAAGGGACCCAGCCCGCAGGTCCAGGTTCTCAAGCACAGCCTTAGGGGGGGCCCCGGGTCCCAGGGTCTGACGCAGCTCCCCATTCACGCAGATGTGGTAGCCATGTAGCTCCACTCGCTCAGGAGGCGGCTCCCAGGCCAGCACCACGCTGTGGGCCAGCTGCTTGAGGACAGCCAGATGGCGGGGGTAAGGCACGGCAGGGGGCTCGCCCAGGCCCTCAGGTGTGGGGCTCAGACTGAGCTCCTCTCCTGCAGCCTCCTCTTCCTCCTCGGATTTGGGCTGACTTCGTCCCCCGACGCTCTGGCCCCCGCTACTGCTGCCACCCCCACCTCCGCTCAGGAAACTGAGTTCAGGGCCTGAACTGTGGGACAAATCGGCGAGCTCCGAAGGGAGGGAGGTCAGGAGGTCGTCGTCCGACAGGCGCTCTACAAAATTGGAAGGGACCAGGCCCCTTCGGCCATCCATGAGCTCCCCTGGCAGAAAGAGGGCAGGGAAGGGGGAGACAGAGAGAAGGTAGAGAAAAACAGGTCCAATAAACGCATTTAAGCAACGGTCATTGGGTGATCTTAAGCATTTGATTCAAATCAACGTTTACCTGTCAGCACTTCTAAAAGACAAGAGCAGTCAAGACCTGGATTAGGGAGTTCCTGTTCATTTTTGTAAGTGTGATAACAGTATTGCGGTTATATAAAACAGTGCTTTTTATTCTCCAGTGTATGTGAATCACCTGGAGATTCGTTAAAATGTGAATCATCTGGGGATTTGTTAAAATGCAGATTCTAATTCTGTTAGGTCTGGGTGGAGCTGAGATTCTGTGTTTCTAACTGATTCACAGATGACACCGATGCCAAAGGACGTAGGCGACTGTCTGAGCTCTGAGGAGGTGCTTGCCTAGGTACGTCTAGGAAAAGTGTCATGTCTCCAACCTGCTTTTCAATTGTTTTTCTTTTTTCACCTACATGAACAAAATGTGAACAACTGTTGGATCGAGGTGGTAAGCACTATTATTCTTTAATTCTTCTGTACATGTGACAAGTTTCACATTACACAGGCCTGAGGAGGGGGGACAGGGCCCCCGTCCCCCCACAACTTCCCTTTGAGGAAAACAGATAGTTTTGAAGGAAGAGAAAAGCACCACCTGGTCAGGGTAAGGGAAGGAATCTTTACAAACAAGAGACATAAGTGCCAGAGAAAAGAGCCTCCTGTGGGTTTTGGATGGGCTTGGGAGCAGGTCCGGGTCTGGGGGCATAATTGGCAGTTGGCCTAGACAGAGAGCAAAGGTAAGTCCTGATACCTTGTGCCAGTTCCCCTGAGCACTTGACAACAGACTATTGTAACATGTGCTCTTTGAGGGATGTCAAGGCAGGAAAAAATTGGACACAGAGCGTGTCATATCAAGCTAATCTGGGAGAAAGAAAAAGATCCTCAGGGAACGGACGAGCTAGTGACTGCTGAGCCTTCATGGGAGGCAGGGGAAGCAGAGGGTTGGTGTAGCAGGTCTGAACGGCAGGAAGGAGAGTTTCCCTAACACCTCTCTTTCTCCCAGGCCAGGGGGGAAAAAAGGTAAGGAAACTTGAAGAAGAAACAACAAGGACTTTCAACAAATTAGATCTTATAAGCACTGTAGTGGATTGAATAATGACCTCCAAAAATATGTCCATGTCGTAATCCCTGGATCCTGTGAATGTGACCTGAACTGGAAAAAGCATCTTTGACAATGGAATTAAGAACCTTGACATGAGATCATCCCAGATTATCTGAGTGGGTCCTAAATCCAGTGACAATCGTCCTTATAAGAGCCTCACAAAGGGAGACACTGAGAGATGAGAAGAGGAGGAGGCAATATCACGACAGATGCAGAGACTGGAGTGACATGGCCACAAGCCAAAGAACAACTGGAACCACCAGAAGCTGAAAGGGACAAGGAACAGGTTCTCCCCTTGAGTCTCCAGAGGGTGTACAGTCCTGCCAACAGCTTGATTTCAGATTTCTGGCCTCCAGAGTGAGAATACATTTCTGTTATTTGAGGCCACCCAGTTGGTGGTAATTTGTTATGGCAGCTCTAGGTAATTAGTATAAGCCCTAGCACAAACGGCTGTGACTTTAAAGGTAGGAGCCTTCACACTTAGCAGATCCGCCGCCCTGAAAGGCTGGTGCTGGAGTTAGGCACGTGCCCCCATGCTTGTGCCTCTGAGAGCAGTCCGGGTGGGCCTAGATGCCAACGAACTAAAGTGTGATGAGGAATATAGGATCCTGCATCCAGATGTCTACATGCCTTTCATTCTAACCCAGGCTGTGTAGTTCTAATTCTAGTAATTTGTGGTTGGTTAATATTTATGTTTTTGCTGCACCCCATCCAAAAAAAACGGTGTTAGCTTTTTTATTTTTCATAACAAAAAACCCTGGTGCCCAGCAGGGCCACCCTGGGGAGTCTCCTCTGCAGGTCCTGCCCTGTCACCCAGTCTCAGCAATGGGGTGTGTGCCTCAGTTGCCTGGCCACCCCATGGGCACTGGAGAACTGTCCTGAAGCCCCCCACCCCTGCCTGGGCCTTGACAGCTGCCTAGAACTTGCTAATGCCTTTTCCTGGGCTCTGAACCCTTCCTATACCCAACTGGAGTCCAGCATCAGATCTATGCTACACGCCTGACCTTGATGTCATTAGGGGGGAACACTGCCATACCCTGTCTGCCAGCACAAAAGTGAAATCAGCCAAATTCCCCATGTCACTGGCCGTGATGTGGACTGTGGTAGGCCCTGCCCTGCCCTGCTTGGGGCAGACCTGCAGTCAGGCCAGCTGCTCCCCTCCCCAGGATGCTTCTATTTCCTTTCTCCATAGGCTTCCAGGTCTCTGTGGCCTTTTAGGTGAGTCTGAAAAGTTATGATGAGCATGCGGGGAGAGGGTATGGATGGGTGGGGGTCTGTGGGAAGAGGAGCTTAAAAGCAGCGGAATGGACAGGAGGAGCTGGCGACATTCTTACCTTCAAAAAAGCCGTCCTCATCCATGTTGCCATAGATGTAGATGTACTCGCCAGCAGTAAGCGGAAGCTCTGCCTCTGGGTTCTCGTTGGGGCCCTCGAAGGGGTTGTAGCTGTTGGAGGAGGCACGAAGGAGGAGGACAGCGACTTACATCCTACCTCCACGGCCCGTCTCCTCTCCCCACTGCCCTGGGCCTTTACGGAGACTTGGCTTTCCACCATTAGCCAAGCGGAATGCTTACTGCACCCACCTCTGCCCTACGAGGTTAGGAGGACATGTCCAACTGGGATCCTTCTACCAACCCCATCGCCTCCAGATGCCTCTCTCTTCTTCGGCCCCTTCCTCCCACACACCCCAAATGCTGGGGAGATGGGGCACAGGGGTGAGAGGCCCACCTATAACGTGCTAGGAAGACCTGGATCCGGGCCCCTCCCCGGCTGCCCTCCGGCGCTGCTGGGGGTAGGGAGACGCTGTCTGCCTCCAGCTCCTCCACCTCACTGGCTGTATCCACCTGGGGGAAAGCAGGAAGGGTCAGTCCTCTCCAGGGCCCAGGGCCAATGGTGAAGCACGCAGATTTCCTGGCTGAGTCAGCGGAGGGCCCTCTGAGGAGGGAAAGTGGGCACACGGGGGACAGGGCCCGCAGCAGCGAGCCCGCTGTTTTCTAAATCAGCTCCTGGGCTAGCAGGTCCTAGTAAAGCCCAGCTGCCCTGGATAGAAGGAGTGGAGACAACGGGATCCCTCCCAGAGCCCTGACCTATACTCTACCAGCCCAGGAAATGACTACTTTCCCCATCAGAGAGTGGGCCAACCACAGTGGTTTGGGTGGGTGTCCAAAGGCAGTTTGCCTCCTTAAGGTAAAGACACAGCAAAGCATTAAAGCTATAAAGAGGTGAAAGCAAGGAGGCAGAAGGAGGTTCTAGGGCTCACCCTCCCAGGGTGTCCAAAGCAAGCACTACCACTCTGTCCCACAAGGGGGCAGTAGAAGCCCGGGGCCAGGTTTGACCATTTCCCACACTCTCCAACGGCGGGGCTGCTCCCGTTCTGCCCCCTCCACTTTCTGGAGTTGGGAAGGTACAGAGGTAGGAGGTGATTGGAAGGGTCTTGAGTGGTGTCCAAGAACTTGGAAATAATAATAGCTGCCACATTTAAGCACTTACTGTGTGCTCTGCACTAAGGGAGGCACTTCCCTTATATTTTTTCGTGTAATCCTCACAAGGAATTTACAAGGCAGGTTTTAACAGCTTCAAAATCCAAACGAAGAAACCAAACCTCAGAAAGGGTCCTGCCTAAAACAGGGCTGGGATCTGAATCCCAGAACCTGTTTTCTTTCTCATATACCCATCACTTCTGCCACAGACACTGTCATGAACAGTCTCATTATGTGGATCCTGGCGCCAAAGTGTCTCCCTCCACCCAGCCCAGGACTCCAGGGCTTCTCTGAGCCCCGCAGGGTTGGGCCTGGGTGGCCCCAAGGTAGGGCCTGCGTGCAAGGTGGCTCCACCTGAGTTCCCTCCTCACCCGGAGGAATCCACAGGCCCTTCTCTCCCAGGGCCTGGCTCCACTTCCCAATGTGGAGGCCCGCACGGACCAGCAGCCTTCCAACTCCTGGGGACCCCGGAGAGGTCAGGGCCCCCTCCCCTACCACTCTGCCAAGGCAGAGCCCGACCCCGGGCCCCCCCCCAGCACTGACCTCAGGCGTAGGGCACGACTTCGGGCTGTTGTGGATGGACTCAGAGCGAGAGGAGTTGGACAGAGACTCTGCCTTCCTGGCTGTCCTTCGGGCGACCCCAGCCAGGGTGGCAGGGGCAGGCTCAGAAAACTTTGGGGTGCAGCGTCCTGGGGATCCTGGCAGGAGGTCAAGGTCTGAAGAGAAGAGGGCATATGGGTGTAGGGTCCCCAAGGAGGGATCAGGGACCAAGGAGCGAGCTGCTTAGATTATAGGGGTCAAGCCCTCCATAGCTAGGTTTCTTTACAAGGAAGGAAATCTCTGAGGAAAATTTACTAAGAAGAAGTGGGGGAAATTTCCATGTATTACTTCACATGATCTTCAGAGCAGCTTGACAAGGCACACTGAGTTTTTCCTTTCTTACAGCTTAGGAAACCACAGTCCCGAGGTTCAGCAGCAAGTTCAGGATTACATGGAGTATTGAGTGAGTAGAGCTGGAACCACCAGATCTGACTGACACCTGGCTCCAACTCTTTACAGGCCCACGCTGCCTGCTAGTGAGACCTCCAGCCCAGCTCCCAGCCATGGCCACAGAGGTCTCATCGGAGGGAAGAAGCAGTGGTCTGAGATACCTGGGCCAGACTCCAGGACAGCCACTCCAGACCTGGCTCTAAGTTGCTGTGTGACTTTGGGCGAGCTGCTAGCCTTCTCTGACCCTGAACTATCTTATCTATACAAAATTCCCAAGCCTGGGAATTCCAGGCTAAGGTCACTGGGAAGTCCATCTTACCTTTGGGGCCGGATCCCCGGCAGGGCTGGGAAATAGAGCAGCAGCAGGGGGGTGGCGGGCGGTCCCCGAGGCCACCGCAGCCCAGGGCCGAGGTGAGCAGATCCAAGGGCCCAGGGTGCAGGCGGAAGGCCTGGAGCTCCTGTGCCAGGAGGCTGAAGCGCTCTGTTTGGTTGCGGCACTGCTCCTCAAGCTCTCGAACCCGGACCTGGGCCAAGACCCACCCTGAGCCTCCAGGCCCAGCCAGGCTGCCCAGTCCCGGCCTGGGTCATCTCCACACCGCCCCACACAGCGCTTCGGGCCGCAGCGCCCAGCCTCTAGGCCTGGGCACCAACCCCGGGCCTGGCCGCCCCATTGCCCTTAGCAGCGTCTGAGCTGAGGGTGAAGTGCCAGAGCTGTAGGGCATCATCAACCCTGTCCCTCCCCCAGAGCAGGGCTGGGGCCTGCCTCACACTCAGCTCACCCTCACGCCTGTGGCACTTCCTGCTTCTGGCTGCTTTCTAGGCCAAAAGGGATGCCTCCCACCCCCAGCACCGCCACCCATATCACCTCAGGAGTTTTCTCGGCCCAACTGCTTGTCACCCTCCCACAGTCAGTGACTCAAATCCCTGCCCTCAGAGAGGTTCCCAGAGAGCTAGGGACATTGGTGGCAAGAATGAGCCAGTTCTCAAGATGTTTTTGTCAGGTATCCCGAGAGTCCCAACTTCAGGGTCTCTCCCCTGGCCAGTATCCAGAGGACCATGCGTTACACTGGTGAGGAACTTGCTCATGGGCCGAGTGGCTGCGTGTTAAAGGAGGGAAGGCCCCCTGTGTGCCAGGTGCGGTCGGGGATGAGGAGATGGCCCACATGTCCTGTGGGAACCCCAGCCCATCTGCGGACCCTCAGTTCTGCTCCCAGTCACTCCCCTCTCTGCTGGACATGAGAGTTGGGGCCACTTGGACCTGAGGGAGGAGAGGCAGCTCAGTGGGCCTGAAGGGGAAAGGGATTCCCCAGGGCGGTGGGGGGTCAGGAGGCTGTACCTGCATGGAATCCAGGGTAGACTGTGGCAGGAAAGGAAAGCACAGAGGACAGATTAGACCTGAGACCTGTGGGTCTTTGCCCAGAGAGGGCAGTTGAGAGAGAGGGGCCCAAGTGGAACCCTCTGGTCAGCTCCCTGGACTGACTGAGCAGTTCCTAAATCGAAGGATGTTTCAAGGAGAAGGCAGCCTCTGGGGATGGGGGGGCAATTAGAGACTTGCCGCCAGACGCAGGAGCCCCTGCCTGGCTGTGCCATAGCCTGAGGAACGGGCTGATGGTGCAGAGGATGCTCCAGGCCCTTCCTGCAGCCCCACATTCCCCCCACAGTCCATTCCAGCTCTCTCTGAACGTCCCCTGCCTCCCCTCAAGCTGGTGTTACTGGCAGCCACCTCCAGGGACCTACCTCCAGCAGCTGCACTGCCCCTTCATGTTCCCTCTTGGCTTCTGCCTGGGCCTGCAGGTGGGAAGAGGCAAAATGCTGGAGGGGAAGGATGAGGAATGGGGGTGGGATATGGGGAGATGGAAGGGAGGGTAGGAAGGTGGAAAGGAGGGCAGAAAGAGGGGAGGGCAGGGGGAGAGGAAGCAGGAAGGGGGACTAGGAAGGAACAGGCTGTGCGCCCCCCCTCCCCAAACTCCACCCCGAGTCACACCTCAGGCCCGAGGCCACGGGCTCACGGGGAGGTGGGCCTGCTGCGGCTTCTCTCCTTCTGGGACATCACCCTCCTGCTTCTCTCCTGTCTCTCTGGATGCTCCTTCTCAGCCTCTTTCTCCCGCTCCCCTTTGAATGTTGGGGTGCTGCTGGGCCCACTTTATACTCTTCACTCTCTCCCAAGAGGCCCCTCTAGTCACATGGCTAGACACACTGATGACTCCAAAACCTTATCTGCAAGACCGAACTCCCCATGACTCCATACTCATAGATCTAACTATCTATGGACATCTTCGCTTGAATGTTTAACACACAACCCAGACTTGGCCAAAACAGAACCCAGACCTCAGGATTCCCAACCTCTCAGGTCTGTTGGTCCTTCATCCCTCACCTCCTAGGAAGTGAAAAGACCCATGCTTTACCAGGGTTAACTCAGCCAATGGGGACCAGCGTGGGGGCTGTCATTTCACGACTAGGACCCATGGACTCTTGCCGATTTCTATCTCCAAAATGTACTTCAAATCCACCCACTGTCCCCGCCTTCAACGCCTGCTCCCTGGTTCGGACGGCCGTCTCCGGGCGTTGCCAGGGCCCCAACGCCCGATGGCCCTGCTTCCATGCCTACTCCCCCAGCCCACCTTCCACAGCGCTGCCAACATCACCTTCTAAAATGGTGAAATCAGGTCATGCTGCTCCCTACTTGGGACCTTTCAACAGTTTCTAACCACTCAGAGGGCAAAATATCCAAATTTCTTCCACAATCTTTACATCGAAGTGCCCGAGGCGATCTGGCTTCTGCCTGCTCCTGCTGTTCTGTCCGAGCCATAACATTCTAGCCACTCCGGTCTGGGTCCCAACCTCTTCCCTGCCACAGGGCATTTGCACTTCTAGTCCCCTACCTGGAGTGCTCTTCAGCTGGCCCCTTCTTGACCTTGAGGTATTAAAATCTTCCCTGCTGACCTCTCTAAAGTAGCCCCTCATCCCATCCCAGTGACGCTGTCACATCAGCCTGTTCACTCCCGTCATCGTGCTCGTCAGCACTGTGCTTGGCAGTGCCTGGGATCATCTCAATCCCAGATCTCACCTGCTGATTGGTCAGGGACCTGGTCTTTGCCCGCCACTCTCCCCTCTCCCCCGGCACACAGCGGGTGCTCAGTAAATGCTCATTGGATGAGTGGATGACCAAGCTGGGGCCCAGCAGCCTGCCACCCTTCCATCACTCTTGCACCCTGGACATCCCATCCCCACCTGCTGCAGCCTCCGGACCTCCTCCTGCTTCTCCTGAAGGCTGAGCCGAGCCTGCTCATGCTCCACCTCCAGCTGCTGCCGCCTCTGGGCCACCTCCCGCATGTGCTGAAATACAAGACCCTGCGTCAAGGCCAGAACCCCTTACACCATTTCTGTAGAAGATCTGAGATGAGGGGGTCTCAGATACCGCGTGTTCCAGACACCCTCTGTCAGAAAGAGAACTAAGGCTAGAGAAGGGCCTGGCGGCTTCAGGACTGGGCCTCAGACTCCAGGGCTCCACAAAGCGCATAGTCTATTGTCCCACCTTCTCCCTGTGCTAGGAACCAGTACCCTCCCTTCCCCCGGTCCCCACTGATACAGCCCTCTCACCTTCAGCACCTGCTCCAGGCTCTCCAGCTTGCTCTGCAGGCCCTGGCTCTTTCGAAGGGCCGAATCCCTCTCCTGCGTCACCCCCAGGAGCTGGCCCCTCAACTCTGCATTCTCCCACTCCACCTGGAGGGGGGCGAGTGGCAGGGAGCAGGGTGTTGTGCCTTGTCAAGCCAGCTCCTTTACGGGGTGGGGAGGGGGGCACCCCTTCATAGCCCTGCCCATTTTGGGGTGCGGGGTGTGGAGGAGACAGCCCCTCGCCAGGAACCAGGGCTCTGGCAGGGTCCCAGGCTGCGCAGCGCCCAGGCAGAGTTGCTACCTGCTCCTTCTGCGTGGCTCTCCCACTGAGCCGAGAGTTCTCATCCACGAGGCGGGCATTCTCATTCTGGGCTTCTCTCAGCTGCAGTTCCTGAGAGACCAGAGGAGCTCTGAGGGGGGCAGGCTGGCACCCACATTCCTCCTCTCCCCATACAGAGGGCCCTGTCCCCCCAGACATAACCTTCCTCCCCAACCTGGCACCTGCATCTGCCAGGAAAGGAGAGCCCCCTCAGCACAGGAGGGAAAGCGTGTTCTTGAGGGCAAGAGGGACGAAAGCAGAGTGGAGGGGGAGCCCACGCCCTGGCTGGCCTGGGGGACGGGGGAGCTGGCTTCTGGGAGGCCCTCCAGAGCTCACCAGCTCCTCACATCGTCTCTGCTTTTTTCGGGCTTCCTGCTCCAGGCTCTCACATTTCTTCCGCTTCTTGCTAAGCTCTGACTCCTGTGGGGTCAGAACCGAGGGCTCCTCATGTGGGAAGACAGGGCTGCCCACAACAGGTCTCCTCCATCCCTTGACCTGGGACTTACCAGCTGCCGCACCCTCTGCCGTTTCTCTGGCTCCCCTAGGACGGCGGGTGGGTTTTCCACATCCTCCTGGGGAGTAGCCTGGAAATGCCCAGGGCAGGGGCCTGGCACCTGAGAACAAGGCCCCAAGGCAGCCTGCTCCCAGCCCAGCCTGTCCGTGGGACATTCCCACCCCATCTCACAGTTAGCAAAGAGATCCCTGCCCACGAAGGGGCAGGGCGGGGTGGGGGGAGCCCGTCTCCCTACCCCCTCCCATCACCTCCAGCTGAGGTGGAAGTGCAGAGGCTACACCCCTGTGTCTTCCAGACAAAGTGCTTTGAGATCCTGAGACCCATGTGTGCCCTGGGAGATGGGTCCCTTATCCAGGCCAAAGCTTTCCCTTTTTAGCTTCTTCCAGAAGCAGCCCTGTTTTGCACTCAATAACTGTCCTGGTGTCCTTCAGTGACTGGCAGAGAACTAGGCAGCCACCTGGGTCCCCGGGGTGCGGTGTTCCCAGACCATCCAAATCTGGGCTTGGCCTAGAGCAATGCACACCTGGCCAGGCCCTCCTAAAGCCTCCCCCAGTGCCCCCTGTAGCACCTCCCATTTATCTGTGCAAACCCTGGGCGAGGGCAGGTCTTGATGGAAGGTGCATCTCCCTCCCTGGGCCAGGCGGAGGGGCAAAATCTGAGCAAGAAGCACCGCACACCCTGAGGCCTTGGTCTCTATGGAGTCCCTTCTCCCACCCCACTTCCCAGAAAAAGGTGGACCTAGGTGCTGCCCAAGGAGAAAGGATGGAGAGTCGGACCTCTAAGTTCTGATCCGGAGTGGGGTCCCTAGCCTTCGCGACAGGGGCTGTCTAAGCCCGGCGCCCAGTGAGGGTCGCCCATACCTGGAGTCGGGGAGGATGCACCGCCACCCGCGGTAATCGGGGGCCAGGCCGGGTGGACCAGGCAGGCGCTGAAGGGGGCGTCCCTGCGCTACGGCGGCGGCGGGAGGCGGTGGCTCAAGCTGGGCCCCGGGCGGCTGCCAGGGCAACCAGGGATTTGCTGCCGGGCCGTACCACTGGCGGCGCGGCAGGGGCGGCAGGGAGGGCACCGCGGGGCGCTCGCCTGCTGCGGGGGCGGACCCCGAACTCCCAGGGGCGGGCACGGCGCAGGGACGAGCGCCGGGAGGCTGAAGCGGGCAAGACCCTACGGCTGGGCTCCGGAAAGCTCCCCAGCCCATTGAGCTCACGCCACCTCTGGGTCCTTCGGGCTCTGAGCACGAGTTTTAGGAGGAGATCCCGGAGGCGCTGCCCCCCATCTACACACACCCACACACCTGCCCTAGTGCCGGCGCTCACCTCTCCCGGTGCCCTGGAGGTGGGCGCTCCTGCCCTGATCCGGACAGTGGGGCCCGGCGGCCGGAGCGGCGAGGACGACTCCTGCTGGTTGCGCAGGGCGATCTGCCTCTGCAGCCGCAGTACCTCCCGCTGGGACTCGCGCAGCAGCCGGTCGAAGTCCCTCATGTGGAGCCACTGGGGACCCTCCTGGGTTGGGGCATAGGGAGGGGAGTTGGGCCTAAACCCCTTCCCGCCGCATGTGGTCCCCTTGCTAGAGGGAGTCCGATGCGCGGGAAGGTAACACATCCTCCCATGCACATGCCTTGGTCGCAGGTGTGTGCGTACATGCTTTGGCTAGCCCGTGTGCAGACATACACAGTAACTCATTTACGGAACACTCACGGTGTGCCTCGCACCGCGCTAAATGCCTTATGAGCATTGCTTCATGCAAGTGTTAGGTGTGTGTGTGGATTCATACAACCAGACCCACAGTCGTTCAGCCTGAAGCTGGAGCACAGGTCTGGGACTCAAGGCTCCGCCCCCTTCAGTTCAAGCTTCTCCCCGCTCCCACCTGGGCCGTTGCCAGGGGAACCTACTCCCCAGCAGCCTCCACCTTCCCGCTTTATTTGCATCTCATTAACATCTCGGTCCAAGTCCTACAAGCCAGGCAGGTGGCCCAGTGTAGGGGTGAGCTGGATGGGGTGACCAGAGCTTCCTCGCACCTTGCCGGCCAGGATGAGTCTGGCCTGCAGCTCCCTGCACTCCCGCTGCAAAGCGGCTATCTGCTTGTCCTTGGCCAGCAGGGCGCTGGCTATCTCACTGAGGTCCCGGGTTCGCTGGCGGGCCAGGGCCTTCCGGCACAACTCCAAGCTGGCCCCTGGATGGGGCACAGGGGCACTCACCTGGCCGTAGAAGGGACAAAACCAATGGTCATCTGAGGGCTGGGGCGCTTCTCCCACTCCCAGCTCCTCCCAAAGGAGGGGTTTGGATGAAAATCTAGAAGCGGGGCCTCCTGCTTTTACCCTGAGTCTGGGGCCTCAGGAGACCAATAGCCTCATTTGACCCCCGCTCCCAGCAATCCCCAAGCAGGACTGATAGGGTTAACCCTGCATCCTAATTTAAGCCCAAAAGATGCTGCTAATTTAGGGCTGCCACTGCCATGGGTCTTCATCCCTGCCCCCACGGGCTCTGTACCCAGAGATGAGCTCAGTGGGAGGCTGTAGCCAGCACCAGCACGTGGTCATCCAGAATCCTGCCCTCTGCCTGCCCAGAAGCTCCCCGCCCAGCCCTTCCCTCCCTCCTGTAGCTCCAGAAATCCTCAGCCTCCTAACCAGGCCAGCCCGCGTTTGCCCTTCCTGCACTTTGGCCCCCGAGTTCCTGCTTTCCTGGGGACTATGAGTCCATGACTCCCAAACCCCACCTGTCAGGCCCAGCCCTGGCTTCCCTCTTTTCCTGGTCACACAGCCTTCATCCAGTGGCCTCCAGTCCTCACCACCTTCAGGTTAGTCTCCTGCAGCTTCCGGGCCCTCTCCTCCAGGCGCTTGGCGATGACCGCCAGCTCAGCGTTCTTTCGCTTCAGCCTCCGAACTTTCTCCTCTGTCTCCGGGAAGCTGCTCTTCCTCTGACAAGGGGTCAGCCAGAATAGGGGCATGTGGGAAGCACCCCGCAGCCCCGCTCCTAACTGCCCAGGCCTTGGGCAAGAGCCCTGGGCTCAGAGTGGGGTCCTTGGCAACTCTAGATAAGGGTTCGCCCTCTCTGGGTCAGGGGTCATGTCACCTCCATGTAGCCCCCACTGGAAGAGATATGCGTGGGGTGAGGAGCAGGACAATGAGGCAGAGGGGCAGAGTGTCCGAGCCTGCCTGCCCCCGGCTCCAACCAGGACCCAGGACTCGCCTTCCCAGCCTCACCAGCATCTGGTTTTCCTCCTTGAGGGTGGCACAGCGCTGCTGCAGCTCCCCTAGGGCCCTCAGCAGCTCCCGCTTGGGCCTGTCCCCGAAGCCCGTGTCCAGCTTGCCCTGGATGGGAAAGGACACGGGGCCTCAGGAACCCAGCCTCCCCAGTCAGAGCTCTCTCTCCATGGTCCAAGGAGATACGGAGATGAGAAGATTCTCCCCACATCCCAGGCTTTTGGAGTGCAGCACAGGAGGTCCAGGAAAGGGAGCTAGCCGGTCCTCCCTGCCCACACTATCACCCCCAACCCTGGGGCCCTCTCTGGGGCCCCAGTTCTTCCCATCCTTGCTCATCTCCTCCTGGAAAATGCCAGCTTGAGCTCCCATCCCCACTGCTCCAGGCTCCCCGGCCCCTGAGTCTCCTCCCCCAAAAGCCTGCTCCCTCCATCTTCTACAGGAGACCGCTCACACCCATCCCAAACCTTGTCGTCCCTCGCTCAGCCCATCACTGAGCCCCCTCCCCTGAGCCTGCTTCCTCTGCACTCTGATTCCACCACATACCCCCACACAGCCCAGTATCCTCCAGCCCCCAAGGACAGAGCCTCACAGAGGAGGAGACACAGATAGACAGACTGTCAGAGAGAGACTAACAGAGGGAAGGGGTAGGGGCAGGGCCAGATGTAGACAGACGGGCAGAGAGTCAGGACAGACAGATGGCAAAAAATGGAGCCACTGAGGTTCCTGCCCAAAGAAGGAAGGACAGGGAGTCACAGAATTGGACTCACAGGCAGAGAGACAGGCCAGGAGAGGAGAGATGGGCAGCAGGGCTGGATGTCACGCCTCAGCTGGAGGGCCTGCTGGGAGCCCCCCGCCTCCCAGACCAAGCCCTCCACCGCTCCCTTACCTTATGGAAAGCCTCCACCTCCTCGTCCTCCAGCCTCGGGCAGCTGGGTCCAGAGCTCTCTGCTTGCTGCCCCAGGCTTGGCAGCCCAGTTTCTGTTCCTTCGGGGTGAATGTCCCCTACAGCCCCGGAGCTCTGGGCTCCCTCGGGCTCGAAGCTCTCCAAAGCCCTCAGTTCTCCAACCTGCAGAGCTGCCGGAGTGATGGCAACACTTGGGGCTGCACCCCCAGGCTCGCCCCCTTGGCCTGGAGTCCAGCTCTGCCAGGTGGGGAGCGCCCATGGCTCCATGGCTCCCGGGTCCCCCTGCCGTGGGAGGGTTGTCAGTTGCTCCATGGTACTGCCAAGAGGCCCCAGGACCCGGGCCGGGGGACATCACCCAGCGAAGTGGAGGGGTTGGTGAGGGTCATGCCAGGCCAGACCCTTTCCTCTCTGAGCTTTTGGCTTCACCGGGGCTCCATCCAAGGTTGGCTGAGTTCTTCCTCTCCCACAAAGGAGGCTGTGGGAGTCGGGGCTGCCACAGCTAGAGGTGGGGCTATGCGAGCTATGTCTGTCCGTGACTGTGTGTGTGCAAGGGTGTCCCCGTGGGGGCTGGGACGATGTGCAGAGGCCACCGACAGCGGAGCCTGGGTGAGGGCGTGTGTGTGTCTCCAGGTCTATCTGTTCAGGTCAGCACTGGCTTATGCGTGTTTGGAGGATGGTGCCCCTACTTGTGTGCGTTGGAGGGTAGTGATTCTGGGTGTCACTGTCTGTGCCTGTTTCAGAGTTACCAGTTGTTTCTGTGTGCGTGTGGGTGTCTGTATTGCAGGGCTGTGGCAGCGTGTGATGCTGTCACTGGTTGTATCTGAGCATCTCAGTGTTGTGCAGCTGTGTGCATCGGTGTCATTGTGTGTCCGTCAGCGCCTGTGAGTCTGGCCATCCATCACGACCCCTCATCCTGGCCGGGGGCCGCAGGCTGCCAGGGTGATCCCCAATGGTCCGATGTGGTCCTTTATCTTCTGCTCCGCTCTCCGCTGCTGCTCGCTGGCTGGATAGCTTGCTGGGCGGCTGAGGCTGGTCCTAAGGAGGCCTGGGTCGGTGGGCTGCTTGCCTCATAGTCTCTGTCCCCGCTGGCCTCAGCTCTGGGGACTGCAGGGGTCTCCTACAGTCCCGGAACCCCGAGATTGTGGGTGCAGAGGAGGCTGAGCCTTAGAATCTGGGGGGTGAGCAGGGGAGAGTCAGCCCTCCCCTCCCCTCCCCCTCCTCTCCTGCCCACCAATAGGAAGTCAGCTGCTGGTTTCCATGGTGATGGCGCTGGACTGGTGGGCTGGACCGGCAGGCTGGGTCGGGACAGAGGGAAGAGCAGGTTCCTCACTGGATCCTGGCCCAATGCCCCTTACATGTGGCCTCCCACACCCCTCCATACCTTCTGGGGTACAGAGGCAAGGGGGCTGCAGGTGGTCCTCCTCACATCAGCCCCAGCCCAACACTGTAGAGACAGAGACAGGAGGTGGTATGACAGACGGCGAGCCAGCCACGGAGAAGGGCAGGGATAGAAAAAATGGGATTTGAGATGAAACAAAGAGAAACAGAAATTAAGAAAATGAAAACAGGAAGACAGAAGCAAAGAGAAAGAGGTAGAAATAGGCTGACAGAATCACTACAGCTTCTTCCTGGCAGAGTGCATTTTGGGGGCAACCTGGCCACCTCCGGCCAGCAGAGGAGGCCACAGGGTCTGCTGGGCTGGCTTTGCCCCACACTGTTGGGAAGTTCGCCCTCTCTCTAACCATAGACCTTCATGCTATGGGAAAATGGCTTTTTGGGACAAGGACATGGGAACTCCTCCACCCACAAGTCAGCCAGTACATGGGGACGGGAGCCTAGATGGAGGCCTCAGAGACAAGGGTGTTGGGAGAGGCCTCTGGGAGGCTGCCTCTGTCCCCTCTGAACCTGGGATTCAGTCCATTTGCACACAAGCCAGCCTCAGCCAAAGTCGGGGCCCTCGTGTGGCACCCCCGGGGAACAGCAGCAGCTGCGCTGAACCACAGAGCCTCTAACCACAGGCGGCAGCCAGGCCAGAGCTGCTGGAACTGTGGGTGGGGTGCCTGGGGGGGTCGTGCCATCCTTACTCCCTTAACGTAGTGTGTCGATTAATACGTGCGCCACTACCTGCGGTGCTGCTGATGTCTATGTCAGGATGGACGCATGTCATTATGTGCATGCATGTGTACAGTAGGCATATATAAAATAGGCATGAACTTATCTCGGTATATGTGTGTGGGGCCATGGCATTATATATGTACACAGAGGTGGGCCTGTCTATTGGTATCACTGAATATGCATGTTTCTGTGTATGCCATTGCAAATTTTTACTTGCCACTGTGTCTGTGTTTTCATTTGCATGTGGGGCTATGATTGTGTGAGCATTTAAATTATAACACATGTCATAAATGTGTATATGGATACCATTATATGGCATTACACAATATATAATGATACATTCTCATATAGTTGTATAAATATGTGTAATGACATACAATGATGTGGTTTTATTTATATCTGTATATACAAATATATATATCACCACATGTCTATTGTGTATGTATCACCATGTATAAGTGCGTCACTATATGTGTGTGCAACTGGATTCAATGTGTTTATTATGTGAATGTCACTATGTGTGTATTCATTTGCTCCTCCATTTGTGACATATATACTATGTTTATATCATTACATGTGTGCGCTATTGAATACGTATGTGCCCTGAGTGTGTCTATATCCCCATGTGTCATTGCATGACATGTCAGCCATGTCACCCGCCTACATGTCTTGTACACATGTGTTGATAGCATACACGTATGGGGCCCCTGTATGTAAATGTGTGTGTGTGCTGTAGTGTGTGCTTTGTAATTAGTATCTGATGCTTTGTGTGTGTGCGCTTGTGCCCAATTCTTATAGTACCCAGGACCCCTGGGCATTTTTAGATTAGAGATGGAGGTAAGCGGCCTTCCGCTTGGGGGTGTGGAAAGCAAGCGGAGGGCGGGGCAGTGCCAGAGGTAAGTTAAAAGCTGGGAGGGCCTCTCATAACCCTGCCCCTTCATGTCCTGCCTCCTTTACTCGGTTTGTAGGGAGGCCTCATCCCAGGCCCCTTCTTTCTCTGCCAGCTGCAGCCTGGCTGACCCTGAGCCCTTTTCTGGTCTCCTAAGCAGACCAATCCCATTGCTCCCTGAGCCTCTGTACGCCCACCCGTCCATGTGCCTGCTAAGCCCTTTCACCCCCTCCCCACCCAACCCCCAACAACACAGTCTCAGACAAAAGAGAAGAAGAGTTCATTGTTTATTAAGCCAAGTTTGAGGTCCCAGACACCACCCCTCATTTCCCGCCCTCTGCCCCACTTTCCCGCCTCTTCTTCGTCCTGGTGTCTGTCCACTGGTGTCTGGGCCCACACTCGGGGCCTCCACACGCACCAGGTCCCGATGCCTAGCCCTCCCGAACCTCGGGCAGTACAGGAGCTGATGTGGCATTTCCCCAGTTGGCCAGAACAAGGAGGACAGTCCATGGGTGACAGTGGAGGCCTTTCGGGGTTCTGGGCAGGGTGGGGAGGGTGCTGTGGGGCTCACCTGTCACACATGGTCTTGAGCGCGGAGGAAAACGGTGGCAGGCGGCAGCGGTGGCGTGGTCTCCGAAGCCCACAGTACACTCATCCATAAAGTAGGAAACACTACACCCTCCAGTGCTGTTAGTAGTGCTTTCTACTTTATGGGTGACTGCACTGTCTGTCTGTCCATCTGTGGGTACTCTTCAGGCCGCCCGCGCCTCCTCCTGACTCCTGTTTGGAGAGTCCCCGGCCTTCCCCCACCCTTCTCACGGCTTCCTAAGACCCCACCACCTAGCCCCACGGCCCCTAGAGGGCCCGCCCTGGGCCTGTGGGTGGTGACTCAGCATGGCGCCAGACCTTGCCGCTCTACCTCCCTCCCCCACTTCCTCTTTGGTTCCCTCTTCCCTTCCCCCTAGGGTTCTACCCCATCCCCCCACTTTCAGGGGCACTCAGGTAGAGACCACCACTACTTATCAGGCCTCCCCCGAGTCCCCAGTTCGAACCCCCGTCCCAGCCACGCTACCCGCCCTCCGGAGTCCAGCTTCGGCAGCCACAGCCTCCTCCTATCAGGGCCTCAGGCCCCAGCCTCCTTTTCCCAAGGCCTCGGCCCATGACCTCCTCACCAGCCCAAGGTCTCGACTCCTTCACTGTTCGGTAGCTCCCCAGACAGGAGCCCAAGACCATTGCAACAGGGAGGGTGGCCACGTTGGGTGGAGAGCAGTGCTCAGGGCCTCTCGCTGATACCAAGTCCCACTTTTCAGCCTCTGCCCACCCTCTGCCATTCCCACCCTACTCTCTTCTTTCTTTATTTGTTTTTTAATCCTCACCTGACTATATTTTTTATTACTGATTTTTAGAGAGAGAGTAAAGGAGAGAGAGAGAGAGAGAGAGAGAGAAACATTGATGTGAGAGAGAAACATCATTCTATTGCCTCCCATTTGTGCCCCGACCAGGGATCAAACCCACAACCTAGGTATATGCCCTGGCAGGGGGATCGAACCAGCAACCTTTTGGTGCATGGGACGACACTCCAACCAAATGAGCCATGAGCCACCCGGCCAGGACACTCTTGTCTCTTGAAGGCTTGGACCCCTCTTTCTTGGTCTGGAGACCAGAGGCCATTTTACCTTCCCTGTCCAGAGGCAAGTCAAGGCCCAGGATTTTAAGGATCTGTCCCACCCTGAAGGTGGTAGATCTGAATGTTATCGCACCTCTTTGCCTAAAGCTTTGCTAGTAGGCCTTGGCACCCAAGCTCCCGACACTCCTCCCGAAATCATCTCTACCCAGGGCCCATACCCCAATCCCCTCATCACCCCTTCAGTCCCAGATTCGAGGAGCCCCAGTTGGGGCTGAAGTGAAGGTTCTGACCTTACCTGATGTTGCAGGGCTGAGGGGACCAAGCCCTGTGCTCCAGGCTCCCAAGTGGGGTTCCCTTCAGGGCGGGCAGGGCTTATAACCCCAAGGCCACGTGGGCCAGATCTCAGGGCGCCCAACGGTCTTGGAGCCCGCCCCACACTGCGTCAGAGATGAGTGTGCCCCTCCCCTCCCAGGGGAGGACAGACTGACAGGAAACCAGAGACAAGGCTGGGTATTGGCAGGAGGGGGGCTGAAGGGACCATCTCACAGGCCGCCATGGGCAGGTGGCTTCCGGGACCCCAGGCCTGCCCTTCCCCCCTGGCACCAGCTCCTGAGAGTGGTTCAAGAGTCTGGGGGCTCCTGTCAGGGCCTTCGGTGAGTGCCCAACACACAAAGTTCTGAATTCCAGCAGAAGGGAAGGATTTTTTTTCTCTGAACCCCACCACAGCTGACCTCAACCAGCCCCAACACAGAAAACTCCCTTCCCTTCAGAATGGCAGCGGCATTCGGACAGAGCCGTGCCTCCTGTTTACACGTGCCCAGAGTGGGCACGGAGGAGCAGATGCAGGAGGGGGTCTGGGCCAGCACATCACAGTACCATCCAGGCAACTGGTTGACCTCAGTGCCCCATGAAGCCACTCCTCCCCCAGCCCCAGCCTGGAGGAGACAAGACCTGCACCCTCAACACAGCATGGGGGTCGCACTTGGGTCAGGTGGGCCAACAGGTGTCCACGCTCCCCTTGGGGCCACTAGGGATACAAGGGCAGGGCAGAGCAGTGGCGAAGACCCGGGTCTCAGGCAGGGCATGGATGCCATTGGGCTTAGAGGAGTGGAGGGAAAAAGGCTCCGAAGGGAGGTTCTGGCAGTCACCGGA